GTATCGGGCTCATATATATATACACATACACACACATGTCTTTACATCCTCGTTGGATTGAAGCCGTTGTCCCAACCAGGAGGCCATGTACATCATGGAGCTGACTGATGGCCGGGTTGTCTTCAACCGCGACGAGGAAAGGAGCTGTCTGCAGGCCTCTGATTTTGATGTTTAGGTTTATAGTCCCCCTTAGGTAGATTAAATATGGCTTTGGGTATTCTCAACAACTTGACTGTCAGTTCCGTCTGACAGTCTTTGAAAGTCAGAAACCATGGGTACTTCATATTAGGGCGATGTTCGTCTTCTGTAGTTTGACAGCGACAGCAATCATTCCAATCGATGTTGGCTTGGAAAACACTTTGCCCCAGGCCTCCAAGCCATCATGCACTTCGCTTTCCATCAGATATGGAGAACGGATCCTAATGGTATGGAATCACTGATGAAAGGTCCCTATACTGGAGAACTTATACTACAATTGTCACTATAGTCCATGCTCCTCTATTCCCTACTGACAAACAGAAGGTCAGCTTTGTTTCAGGTTGTGCAGCTGGCAGGGCGCTGTCAGCAGGCAGTAGTGGCGGCCTGCTTGCGAGGCAACCTGCGCATCTGCAGACACTCTAGTTTTTTGGTGCCTCAGGGGTGTGGGAAGTTGATTATAAGGATTTTGAGAGGATCATAGAAGGATTGTTCTACAAGCTTTCAACACTCCGACCAACATTATAGATCTGGCCCTCAAATAGGTCCTATATACGACTGTTAACGGGATGCTGTGGTATCCGCCGCATAGCTGTAGTTGATGACAGGTAGCTGCAATCCGCATGTTCCGTAGCTCTTGAGACATTCTGTGGCAGCCTGATGCGCAGGCCAGACAACTCTGTTGCGGATGCTTCTGGAACGTGGAGCGGACGCGGCGCAGCAAAACCTCTACGGCAACCTGGCCATGTGATTGAGAGTAATTAAGGAGTCTCGCAGCCTTTTCGATGCTCTTACCGAGGCGAAACCGCGCTGCATGTGGCCACAAGGGCTGGTGAGGAGGCGCAGTTGTCATCATCTCAGCCTCAGAGCGAAGATGAACCTCGCTCCCATGGGGAGCGGCCGAGCTTTTCTGACTTCCGCAAATTTTTCGCAGGAGGCAGCGTCGCTGCTGCTGCAGCACGGCGCATGGCCCCGAGAGCCTCGGAAGCGAGAGGTGTTGGAGCTCGCAGAGGCGACCGAGACTTTTGTCGCAACAGCTGAAGTGAGCAACTCTTCAAAGGGGGTTATTTCGGGGGTTATATAGGGGACTACTACGGGGCTTATGCAGGGGGATACTAAGAGTTTAGATTATAGCTGATACCACTGTTGCTTTGCTGAACTGCTGCAGGCCCACCGGATGCAAGCTGTCATCGTGGCAGCAGGATGGTTTTTTCCCCTTAGTCATGCCCTTGCCCTGCTTGCTTTTGAAGATGTTTCCAAAAGCAGAAGGGAATGGAGAAACCCAGGGAAACGATACTGGGAACTGAAACGGAAGGATTAATCAGGATTTTCAACGAGATTGTGGTTCTAGATTCCTTGAATAATCATGGCGCAGGGTACTTCAGATAGGAATCATACCTAGGGCTTTGGATTACCGAACGCTCTAGGAGTTTCGGCCGACTACACTGAGAACATCCTGGATCGACAGCTGCCACAATATCAAGAGGTCCTTTGCCGAGCTTGGCCAGGAGTTGGTTGTTTAGGATATATATATATAGGAGTTATATACGGTAAAATAGGGACAATGTAGGGATAATGAAACATAGAAACATAGAATGGAAACTACTATTTAGGGTTTAGGGTTTAGGGTGTGGGAGTACGTTTGATGCTTAAGGATTAGGGTGCAGGGCTTAGGGTTTAGGATTTAAGGTCGAGGGTTTAGGATTAAGGGTTTAGGGTTTAGGGTTTGAGGTTTAGGGATACATCAACCCATACACTCTGAATCCCAAAACTTTCAGACGTCCCCCCTCTGGTCCCTGTACACCTGCCATATGTCATGTCCATAGGTCAAATTCCCCTTAACAGGCTAAGGGGCTTCATATGAGGTTTCTTATAGTTCCACCCTAGAACCCTCAGTCCTGAATCCTCAACCCTAAGCCTTCAACCAAAACCCCGAAGCCTTAAACCCCAAAAAACCCAAAACTCCTAAACCCCTAAACCCCTAAACCCCTCAACTCCTAAAACCCTAAAACCCTCAACCCCCAACCCTCAACCCCTAAACCCCTAAACCCCTGAAACCCTTTAAACCCCAAAACCGAAACCCTAACACCCTGAAACCCTAAACCCCCTAAAGCCTTAAAACCTAAGGTTCCCAGTCTTTTGAGCTTGCAAGGTTCTGGAGGTGCTCTCAAAGGCCTCGACCAAGGTGGGGCGCGAAGAGAATATAAACGAACATATTCACAATAGTAATAGTAATAGTAATAGCAATAGTAATAGTAACAGTAATAGTAATAGTAATAGTAGTAATCGTAGTAATAGTAATAATAGTAATAATAGTAAGAATAGTAAGAATAGTAATAATAGTAAGAATAGTAATAATAGTAGTAATAGTAGTGGTAACAATAGTAATAGGTTAGGGCTTAGGGGCTAAGGGATTTAGGGGTTGGAAGGATTTGTGTTTAGGGGTTTGCTGTATTTTGGGGCTGTAGGGGTAGATAGGAGTTATGAGGTTAGAAGTGACAACTGTTTGCAAGAGGAAGGCAGCTTAGTCTCAGCTCAAAAGCGGGAATGTTTTGGGAAAAAAGGGCTCAAGCCGAGGTTGAAAACTGCTGTACCCATTAAAAAGGGTTCGGGTTCAGGGTTCAGGGTTCAGGGTTCAGGGTTTAGGGTTCAGGGTTTAGGGTTCAGGGTTTAGGGGTACCTTCCATGGATTCTGATGAAATGTACCTTTCACAAGAGATCCCTTACATTGGGAATCTCTCGCGTATTGGCCAGCAGATAGACTGCTGCTTAATCCACTGCCTAGAGTCGAAGATGGGTTGACATTCAAACTATCCTTCCGCGTTATTTTTGAATTTGGGTCCCTACGCCCTAGGCCTCTGCACTATGATTCCCCAAGTCTCAAACCTCTAGACCCGATATGCCCCTGTACAACCCCCATCCGTCCCCGTATAGCCCTCCATCTTAGGAGGACCCCCGCACCCTGGAATAGTAGTATAATAAGAATGTAAGAGGACCCTAATACAATCCCTATTATCCCTTATAGTCACTATTACTGGGTGGGGGGTCCACCTAACCTCTATCCACCTAGCCTCAGGCGGATCAAGATTTCACCTTTTCTGGAATTGCGGATCTCGTGGGCACAGCCTCACAGCCCAGGCACTTGGCAGTTATGCCAGGGTTTAGAGTTTAGGGTTTAGGGGTTTAGGGGTTTAGGGGTTAGGGTTTACGGGTTTAGGGTTTAGGGTCTCTGCAAAGGAGTGAGTATTGGGAATACATGTCTCTAAACGGGGATCCAAATAACATTAGGAACTACTTCATGAAATTTGGGGGACCGGCATTTGATTTAGCGGTTCATGGGGTTCGGTACTCTGCTCAAACTAAAATGGAATCCCCATGTAACTCCCTTTAAATGGGACACCAATCATTGTAGGGCCCTTATGGGGGTTCTATCTTAGTTTAGGGGAGCGTAGTACTTACTCCATACAAGGAACTCAGCCCCATGTATAAACAGGGTAGCAACCAGCCTCCTAGGAGGACAGCGACGGCAGATTTAGCGTTTAGGGTTTCGGGTCACGAAGCCCTATGAGGGTTCTATAGAGGGAGGGACCTCCCATCGGATTTCAACACTTGAGCTTCATATACATTGGGGTTATATTGGGATAATGGAAAAGAAAATGGAAGCTACTATAATGGGTGATATAGGTTTAGGGTTTAGGGTTCAATATTCCTTAAGCCCTCAGCCCTAAATTGTAACTTGCCGTTGTTAGCAAGAGAAGACAGTCGTCCTCCCTTGGCATCTACACTGTTTTTTGGTCAAGTAGGTAGGCGACTGAGGATGTTGTTGGGCAACGTGTAGGGCCTCCCATGCTTCAGATTCCATATCCGTAGTGAGCATAACTGCAGGCTCATGGAAAGTGAGATCATGGTAGTGAAGCTGGAAAAATGAAGAGCTGCGTTGCGGTTTAGAATCAATCATGCAGCTCGTGTTTGACTTGGCTACGTGACTACTTACTATGCCTCACCTAGCGTCGAAACATGGAGTCGAAGCAGGAACGCAGAAACATCCGGATGTTTCCAGGAGCCTAAGCAGGATCATGGCTTGGAACCACCGGAAGGCCGACACCATGTTTCTGCTCTACCATAAACCCTCAAATCGATCCAACCTTCCCCCCCCCATTCGCGGGACTGACAATTCGATTCAAGGCCCACTGCAGCTGGTGGAAAAGTTCCAGCGGAAGTCGAGCGACCGATCCCAGATGACCGTTGGAGATCGTTTTCGCTCCTTCAAATGCTTTTTTTCTTTCTACCAAAGTTGGGCTTAAATCCTAAATTCTGAACCCCGACCCCCCTGATCCTTTCTCTGTTCCCTGCCTAGCTGAGTCCCAGGACTTGGGGACCTCCAGCGACGGTAGCGGAGGCTACCTCGGGATTGGGGAATTTCCTCCAAGCAGGGTTTAGGATGAATAGGCTAGAGTGTAGAGAGACTCCTGCCTCAGCCTGACATGATTGAGGCTTAAGGGGTGATGTGATGGGGCATGGAGACATCTTCTGAAAAATGGTCAGGGTTCCATTCAAGAACATTCACTTTTGGCTACTGACTTCTTCATTCGTGATGTCTAAGGCTCTTCCAGCTCATTGCCATTGAGCGAGATAACGATTTGTTGCGGCGTCCCTGGTTTCTTTTACCAGGGCCGCCTTCAGTGCATGACTCTTAGCAAAGAGCTCGTACAATCCCTCAAGTGATCCTGAGAATTGTCCTTGCAATTGATTGGTTCCGTCCTTTTCGTCCGAATGGTCTCCCTACTCAGTTTCCTCCCACGATGGGGCAACTACGGCTACTACAATCCTGACGAAGACTATCACCACTGCCTGTACCACAACCACGAACAGTATCATTTCCAGAGCCCAAGCCCTAAACCCTAAACCGCCAAACCCTAAACCCTAAGCTGCCAAACTATAAACCCTAGATCAGACAAACCCTAAATCCATCACCCCAGGTTCGGCGGGAGCGCCTGGAGCTGCATGGAGATTTGGTCAAGGCGGTGCGCAAGGGCGACCTTGCGGCTGTGGCATCCTTGGTGCAGCTGCTGGGCGAAGAAGTTTTTTGGGAATCTAAACTGCCCTTTAAAAGGGGTTATATCGGGAATTCTATAGAGTTACCTGGGAGATAGTGGGATATATAGGGTCTACCAAGTACTTCCCCTGAATGTTGCACCTTTACGCCGGCAATAGTTGTAGCATGTTGTATATGAAAATTGATGCGTTCATTATTAGGGACGGGCGTGGTATTATCGGGGTTTGTTAATGGTTAGGGAGGGGGGTTGCTAAGAAAATTGGTATTTCAGCTTAGGCCTTCAGATCTTGGATTGGGGTTCAGGGCTTTTCGAGTATGGGAGCCTTTACAATCACTGCTATGGTTGCTTCAGGCCGCTTATGTGGTATCCCCCCGCACTACTAGTGGTTTACTAAAGAGATGTAGGCACCCAGACATGAGTCCTGCAGCGCCACTGTCCCTTGTGCTCACAGTTTGGGGGGCCCACCCTGTACAGCCCTGGCTCAGTTTCGATTGTAGTTCCTCGTATTCTGATTTCATTATACAGTTCCCCTTGAGTAGATAGAATATGTAAATGACCAATATCATAGTAAGATCCCCATATACCTCATATTGTAATTACTTAAGGGGGAGTATAATCATTTCCCACCCTCAAACCAGATTCTAGTTTTGAGGCGGCAATGCTACGGAGCTCATTCTGGAATAGCGTGGGGATGATTCGGGTTGTATGGGAAGAAGAGAGGCAGACGGTGAACGTGGGGAGTTAATAGGGATTGTGTCTGCATGTCACAGAGCGTATGGGGAATTAAGCGGGAATTATCACGGTCATTGGGAATCACAGGATGTCTGCTGCCTCATTCTGGGTGGTGAGAACGGTCCTATTGCTTTCGGGTATACCAATGACTCGAGGAACATCGAATCTTCCAGACTTGTTAGGGACGAGCGCAAGCATTAATGTGAGACCTACGTCCAAAAAGCCGTTTAGGGAACACACTTTATTGTTGAGGGTGTGGGGATTTCAGTTTAGGGTTTAGGCTGTAAACCCTAAACTGCAATCCCTAAACCCTAAACTCTATAAAGCCCCCATATCCCCTTTTTGCCAGTAGAGAAGTTCCCATTGCCTCTTCCAATATCCACTTTGGCAAGGCGCGGAGCCCAGCTGGATTTGAGCTTCAACCTGGGCTACGGCGAGACAGGTAACTGTACCTTGTCTTCAGGCTCCTCATATCTAGGATGGAGTAGTATAGTATAGTAAAGTATAGTATGGTGTAGTATAGTATAGTATAGTATAGTACAATATAGTATCATGTAGTATAGTATAGTAAAGTATAGTGTAGTGTAGTATGACACAGTACAGTCTACTTACTATCTCTGAACCATGATAATGGAGAATCAAAGGGAAAAGAACAGTAAGATTGGCATGGCCGCAAAGACGCCTGTCTGTCCTTTTGCAAGGGGCCATATGTGAGCTTCCATATCACTTTAGGGAGGATACTCCAACGCCAGCACTCTTACAAGCATCCCTGAACCTTAAACCCAAAACCCTAAACCCACGGATTTCTTCCCCCAAGGAAAGATGGTAGGTCCAAGACCCTTCTCCAAACCTACACCTGAAGCCTTCATGACAGCTGGTTAGCGGCACATGTCCTTAGCCCCCCGCTCCCTTCCAAGAATTGTGCAAGCCAATGAAACCTGCAAGATCCAGTTGTTCTTGACTGCCTACTCTCTGCGGCCTCAGGACTAAAGTCCTAAAGCCCTAAAACCCTAAGCCCCAAAGCCCTAAAGCCCTAAACCCCAAAGCCCTTAGCTAAAGCCCTAAACCCTAAAGCCCCAAAGCTCTAAACCCTGACTCCCTAAAGCTCTAAGCCTTAAACCCTAAAGCCTTGAACAATTTAACCCAAAGAAGGTGTGGACTGGGCGGCGTGCTGCCAGCAACCAGCGTCCGCTTTGAAACTCCTGGAGTTGGCAGATGCACAGGGCCTGGGTGAGGCCCTTTAAGGGGGGATATAGGGTCTGTGTTAGGGTTATGTAGGGGTTATCTAGGGGTTATATTAGGGTTATATAGGGTTTATGTTACGTAGGGTGATGTAGGGGTTATTTAGGGCTTATATTAGGGTTATATAGGGTTTATATTAAGTAGGGTGATGTAGGGGTTATTTAGAGTTTATGTTAGGGTTGAATAGGGGTTATGTAGGGTTTATACAGGGTTGAGGGTTTGGTGTTTAGCGTTGGAAGATGAGACATGAGAGCCAGAGTCTAAACTCCTTGAAGGGGTTATATAGGGGAATATAGAACCTCTTTATTTAGGGTTTAGGGTTTAGGGTCTAAACTCCTTAAAGGGCGTTATATATAGGGGGTTATATAGTGGACTACTAGAGGACGTATTAAGGGAGATACTAGGAGTCTAGACTATAGCTCATGAGACGTGCGCAGCTGGCACGAATTGAGGAAATGAGGATAGTTATGACTTTATGAAAATCGCAGATTTTCCTACTTATATACAAGTTTAAATGACTTTTCGGATAGAAGGCTGTTCATACAGAGTTTCGGGTTTGAGGGTTCAAGGTTTCGGGTCATAGGCCTTTGCAGAAACAGCCGAAGCTTTGCCAAAACCCTGAAGCCCAAACCCTGAACCCTATACCCTATAGAACCCCTAAACAACCCCTATATGAGCTATAGTCTAAACTCCTTAAAGGGGGGTTATATAGGGGATTATATAGGGGAGTATGATAGGTTTACTAAGGGGGATACTAGGAGTTTAGACTATACCCTATATAACCCCTAAATACCCCTTGTATAAACCTATAGAAAACCTAAATAACCCCTACATAACACGAATATAAACCCTATATAACCCTACATAACCCTACGTAATATAAACCCTAGATAATATGACCATAATATAGCCCCTAAATAGCCCCTACATAACCCTAATACAAACCCTCTTCCTACCCCTAGTGGCAGGCCTTGGCAGGCCAGGCTCGAGCCGCACTTTTCTGGTCCATCGTCCATGGCTATGCGGAGGTTCTGGAAGGCTGGAAGCACTGAAGCTTGAAAGTGTACATTTTAGTATACTATGGTATATTATAGTATATTATGGTATAATGTGGTATATTGTAGTAGTAGATTATGGGGTTTGGAAGCAATGCAGCTTGTCAGTTGCCCTCTCCCATTCTGTGTTGTCATCGTCGCCATCATCGCCGTCATCATCATCGTCCTCTTCTTCATCGTTGTCGTCCTTGCCATGCGCGCCATGACCTACCACCGCCACAACCGCCACCCCCACCACCTCCTCCTGCTGTTCCCCCGTTCCTCCTCCTCCTCCTCCCTCTCCACCCTGTCTCTTCCCACTCTCCTCCCTCGCTCCCTGAATTGCTACTGCATACGCAAGCGCACACCTTTGATACCTGCCGTTGGGGTCACAGCTTGTGCAATCCTTGCTCTGCTTTCAGCGCTCCTCCTCCGTGGCATCGACGTTGCCACGTCGCAGCCTGCAGCTTTTGCGGGCCACGGTGGCTCCACGGCACTGGCACTGGCAGTGTCGAGCTACCGTCCTGGGGAAGCGAGCTGCTGGGACCACAAACAGGGTATCCCTGGGCTCCAGGGTTGGCCATTCTGCGTAGTGCGCTAAGAGCTGGATCATCGTCCTGGGAGTTAATGCACATCTTCATGGTAGTTTCTTCAGTGAAGGAAGGAATGCAGCACAGGTCTCTGCACTGGGAGTGCACTTGTCATACGGGCCGCGGTAAGTGTCGGCCATATGGGAAGTAGCTACCATATGTTCAATATGTTTGTTTATGCGTGCTTGTGTTTGTTTCAGCATGAGGATCCCCTTTTTTACTCCCTCCTACCCGTCGCAACAGCCACAAACTCTAAGAATAGCTCATATGGCAAGCCCAAAAATGACCAATTCCAAACCCTTAACCCACGACCCTGAAACCTTTGACCCTGAGAACTGCAAACCCTTGTAACCAAAAGGCAGGCCATGATTCACAACCCAAAGCCGGAATGCCTGACCCAAACTGTAAACCGCCAACCCTGTGAAACCGTAAACCTCAAAACTCTGAAGCCTCAGCCCAAAAACTGAAGCCCCCAACCCTTTTGCTTCACATCTAAGACCTAGAACCCTAAGCCTCAACTCTAAACCCATAAACCTCAAGCTCAAACCCAGGTCTACTCCTGAGGCACAGGGCATGGGAGAAAGAGCCACCAGAGTGGCGGCCAGAGTTGCTTCGCAAGGCAAGGGGGTCATTTGAAAGATGGAGGGCATAGTGCAAACTCCTTAAAGGGGGTTATATATAGGGGATTACATAGGGGACTACTTTAGGGCTTATTGAGGGGGATACTGGGAGTTTAGGCTAAAGCTCATAGAAGGATTCGTAGGATTTAGGGATAGGGGTCCGAGGCTTGGGGAGACTCAGTAAGTCACAGTAAGTTATCCCCCTTGTTAACCCACAAAGTTCCTCTGACCCTCCAAGCAGTTTTCTCAGCATCCTGTATGCTCTCGTTGGAATCGTGTAGGTTTTACGGTTCAGTGCTTAGGATGTATGACGGTTTAGGGAAAATTGGGGGTTTAGGTTGGGCTTCTATGTGGTTGTCTGGCATTCAGACGGACAATGCTTGGCTTTGCTTCCGCAGGAGGCACTCAACAGTACATCTTGACCATCCGAGCAGACACCATGCAATTCCTCAACGCCTGAACCAGCAATTGCCCTCCCCAAACTAGCACAACCTGACATGGATACACACTAAAATTGAAAGCATTGTCTTTTGTGAAAAACGGCCCAAATCAACTTCCACGTTAGTTTGTGGAGGATAGCCCTGCGGCTGCGTTAAGAACTGTGGGACACCCTTACGCCCAGAACCAAAACCTCCTTAACTCCAGGTAATAACTCGGACCATACAAGGGAATCTCTTGCGATTTAGGGTTTAGGGTTTAGGGGCTTAGGTTTTAGAGGAGATCCAGGTAGAAACATGCCAGGAATACAGGTACAAAAAACGCGTGTGCCGGGATTGGCGATTTCTGTACCGTGGTTCCTATAAAAACTGGTCGTGGTTCTAGCGTTTATTCCAACTGTGTTTACATGGCGGCGTATCCTCGAGGTGCGACGTCATCTTCGCAAGTTCAATCCAACTGTGTTTACAACCCTACCTCAATTTAGGGTATAGGGGCTTAGCGTTTAGGCTTTGGGGAGCTTCAACAAAGGGACTCAGGGGTGTTCGGCTCCGTAGGTGAGTGACAGTCTGCATTCCTCAAACCCCAAAACCGGAAGCCTGAGCCCTAACCACTGGCCCCCGAAAATAGCATGGGACGCGGTTTAGTTGTTTTGTGTCTAGGGTTTAGGGTCTAGTATAGGGGCCATCCGGAAGAGCCCCTTTTTTGAGAAGACTGTGGCCTTTGGCAGGCCGTTCAACTTCCGTAGTGGTTTCGGGGAGGGTAAACCTTGAACTCTGCACCTAATACTTCCCGAGCCCTAAACAACTCCGTATAATCCTTGAGAAAACTCAAAGCCCAAAATCCCAAACCCCTAGGTAGGAAAACTAGCAGGCTATAACTAAGTTATAAGCGGTTATACTCCCCCCTGTCGTCACGATTCTAGCTTGCGCTAGAGTTTGGTAATATACCTACCTAGCTGAACCCTGAAACCCAATGGTAGTTTCCCGAAATAGGGGACCCCTGAACCCGCAATACATTATAACCCTTTTAGTGGAGACCCCGGAAAAGGTACCCCTAATTTTGGGAAATCTCTAAACCCTATATATCGTTATATATCCTTATATGAACCCCATATATCCTCCTATAACCCCCGTGTCCCCAAATCCATTGAGGTCCGCCTTCGAGGCGGTGCCATGGCGGCAGCATTTGCAGCCGCAGGTCGGTAGTTTCTTCTCTTCCAAGAAAACGGTAGTTTCCCAAAATTTGGGGTACCTTTTTACGGTTCCCCATAAATAAGACTTTAGTATTTTGGGGTCTAGATTGGGGTCCCCCTATTCAGGGAAACTATCAATAGGAAGAGAAATTAGTAGTACCTTGTTTTGGGGGCCCCCCATAATAAGGACTACAGCATTTGGGGTCTATATTAGGGTCCCCTTTTTTGAGGCATAATAACTAGACTAGTCTCATCATTGTTTCTATGGCCTGGTATTGTCAATGCTAGTGTTGTTCTTATCGTTATTGTTTTGTGTTTTCTCGCTTCGTGCTGGTAGGTAATGAAGGAGTAGAACTTCGAGTAGAACAGAAAAAATGGAAGCACCCAGGCTGTTATGTACGCTCGTACCGCTGCTGCAGCTGTCGTTTTTGCGTTTCTGGTTTTTGCTGCTTGCTAGTACAAACGTAGGAATGGGTCGCCGGGTTTGTCAGGGGTATGAGGAAACTTGCAGCCAATAGCTGTACAAGCGGAAGCCATGCCTTCACTGCTTGTTGGCAGGCAAAAGCACAGGTTCTGCTTCAGTTGAATTTGCATGGCAGTTTCCATTTTCTTCTCGGTTATTGACCGAAGTCGAACTGAAAACAAGTATTTCAAGTGCAGTTTCCTAGCTTCTTTTCCACACTTGTGGTATAACCCCTGCATAACCCCAGTTTCCATTTCATTCTTCGTTTCCTCTTCATCTCATTCTTGATTATTGGAGATATCCCTAAACCTTATATACCCTATATAACACCTGTATAAACCCTACATACCCCCCACCGATACATCATTACTAGACTGTATGGTTTCGGGTTTAGGGTTTAAGAGTTGAGATCTACGGCCCCCACCCCCACCCTCCGCCCCGCAACAATAAACACACCCAAAATGTGATGCCAAATCTTATTAAGGGAATGGTTAGTATTAGGGGGAGTGGAGCGCTTGTAATTAATCAATGCTCTCCCAGAAGAGGTGGGCCGTCTCGGCAACATGAGAGGATGCCAGGTGCAGCAGGTTCTTTGGAACGGCTAGAATCAACCAATCGAAGAACCGCTCATTTTGGGAAACCCTGATCCCTATATAATCCCCTATATAATCCTATTTTCCATTTCCTTTTCCATGTTCTTTTCCACTTGATTCTCCGTTAGGGGGATAAAATAGTAACTTAAATCATGTCCCTGAAACCCTTAAACCCCTAGAGAATCCAATTATCCATTTCATTTTTCATGTTCTTTTTCCATTTGATTCTCCATATACTCCTAGTTTGTCCAGCTTAAGCTCAAACCCTTCCGAAGAGGCGTCGGCTTTGATGCAATCTGCTGAGGCAGTGCTCTCTAGGTTTTATTCTGGGTTGGCCTTTGGGATACTTAAATATTTTCCCTTATTGGTTAGGCTTCATAAGGACCCTCTCCACTAATATTTTCAAAGGGCTCCAAAGGCCAATGAAGATTTGGGTGTCATCCAGCATCTGTGGAGCTAGTCCTTTTGTACTGAGCTAGTGCTGGATCAAGCTCGCTCTCTTTTTGTTTTGCCCAAGACTGGATGCTAGCTGGATGAGCGACGGCATCTTTTCAAAGCGGCCTTGCTGTACAGTGCTGTTAAACAGTGGTGTGCTGCTTCCGGGGGGCGTATGTCGGCCAAAGTTTGCCGACAGCAGCGTTTGTACAAACTCCCTAGCTACGGTATGCTGCCCAAGGCAGATTTGGTCACAACATGGGATCTTCTCAAACTGCGCCTGATAAGGACCCCTTCTTATCTCTTCATAATCCCCGTATATCCTTAGGATCCCGAAGGAGACCCAAGTTTGAGAAACGCCCACATCTCAGGCATTGATAAATGCATGGACCGGTTGCTGATGTTCTTGGATCGTGCGACTTGCGGGGGCCCAGTCAGTGGGTCATTTTGGTTGGGTTAGTCTGGTAGGTTGTTGGGCCCTTAGCCAAACACGGACCCCTAATATTTGGGAGGGGACCGTAATTTTGAAAGCCCTCTGTCTAGCCCCGATCAGGACCCGAAGACCCGAGAGCTGCGTGAAGTGCAACGTTTCTTGGCAGCAAGCCATACACAAGCGATCTGGGTGAGCTGAGTCCCTCAACAAACCCAAATGATGTATTGAAAAGAGCATGGGAACTACGGCATAACATTGCCGTTCATGTCCTTTCCGTAACCTCTTCCATCGGCAGTGGAAACTTAGCAGAAATTAGAAGGGAATTACGGGTACTCCTTAAAAAACCCATTTATCTCTCCTTAAACACGGAGCTACTACTATCAACCCTGGTTAGCCGATTCAGACCTCACACCCTACACCTCAACCCCTAAACCTAAGCCATAGACACCATCTATCCCCATATTACCCTATGTAACCCCTATATTTACCCCAAACCCTAAGAAGCAGGCCAAACTTTGCTTCATCGACCCTCTCTGCCGAAGCCCTGCGGTTCAGCGAGCTTCGGCCGGCGGGCCGCGCTGCGCGACGCGGCACGATTTCCTGCAATGCCGAGAAGCTGGTCTGGGTCAGGGGCCTAGGGCTTCGGGTTTAGCAGTAAGGCTCTAGGATTAAGGTTCAGGGTTCGGGGCCTAGGGCCAAGTGTACAGGGTTCATGATTTATGGATGCCAGGTTCACCGTTCGTGGATCGAGCACGTATGGGTTCTGCTGCATGTCGTCCCCGCATGGAGAGCGTCCGAGTCCCACGTCTACAGAGTCCTATGTTTGCACACCAAAGTCATGTTCGGTACCAGACTACGCTTGGTGCCCCAGAGGGCCCGGCACTATCAGAACTTTCACATGCATTTCCTTTCCAAGGCCTGAATTGCTGGAGGATGAGATGGTGGAGCCGGAGCGAGAAACCCTCTGGTGACCCACCCAGCTTAAATACGGTGAAAGCCTGAATCAGCAAGATTATTCCCCTACATTTGGTACACTCCCAATTCTTCTACAGTAGATTGTAGTTTCACTAGCAGGCCCGGATATAGACACGGCCCCAATATGCTATAATCCATATTATGGTCACAAGAACGAGCCCCCGCCCATTTTTTTGACACATTCATATGGCCAGACTCTTGTTAGTATTCAGGCTGGTACAGTGAGTGCTGGTTTGTCTGCTGGTGATTTTGACATATCTTTTTAGGGTTTAGGGTTGTGCAGGTTGATTGGAGGTTCATGGGTAGTCAGAAATGATGTTCCAATGAAGACAGCTACACTTCTAACCAAATTGCGGCTTTGCCGGGAGGTTGAATGCACGCTTTGTTTACGTCCACGCGCAATAAGCCTACAAATCCTGAATGTATAATGTATCCCATTATAGCAGACCTCCATACGGCCCTCGTGATCACACGTCATTTTATTTTCCATTTGTATTTTCCATTATCCGCATATAACCCCTATATATACCCCATAATCCCCATAGAACCCCGAAATCCCAGTAGTTTCCATTTTCTTTTCCAGTATATCCCCATATAATCCCTCTATATACCCTATAATCCCTAGAACCCTCAAATCCTTGTAGTTTCCATTTTCTTTTCCATTATATCCCCATATAATCCATATATATATATATAGCCTATAACCCCTACAGAACCACCCAAAATTTTTGTACTTTCCATTTTCTTTTCCATCATGTCCTCATATAATCACTGTATATGCCTTATAATCCCCATAGAACGTCCAAAATCCCTGTAGTTTTCATGTTCTTTTCCATTGTATCTTCATATAACCTACCCACGAACCTCCAAGCAGCCTCCCGAGGCAATACGGCATGAAGAGGAGCCTGAAATTCCATTTTCTGCTGTGAAGGGGTGATAGGATTCCTTAAAAATGGGTTATATGGGGGTGATACTGAGGTCATCTGCCGGAGGGTCTAGGGTTTTGGGTAGCAATTTTTGAGAGGAATGCTGCTCCAAGGTATATAAGTTGCTAGCTCAGGAGCCACGAGCATACCTTCAGAGAGATGTTCCCGCAGACTTGGTTCGAGTGAGCCTGCATGGAATTCCCCGACTCTGTAGTTTTCTTCGGAATTAGTTTGCATGTTCATTATAGCAAAACCACAAGGAACTGCTAAACATACTTAAATATAGGTCTCAAGGGACTACAGTACTGCAGAGTCTTCTGGCTGGCGTTCTGCCTGCCCGTCTCTGAGAAGCCTCAAAGAAGGCAGGGCACTCCAGGGAGCATTGTATGGATGCCCTGCCGTTCAACAGCAGACAAGCTGTGTCTCTGAATTCGCGGTGGCTTAACGGTAAAGAAGCAGCAAGCTGTGTATATGTATATATGATATAACAAAAACGCTTGTGTACTCTGTTATAAATGGGTGTTGACAGTTTTAGCAAATGCATGGTGTCACATTTGTTTGTATCTGTATGTAAGAAGGGTGTATTGAGCTGGAGTACTGTGATGGGTCAGAGCCCCTGGTTTCAGCCGTACAAATCCAGGATGGCTATCTGAGAGGGCTTTGTCCGTGGAGCTTTGCAGGCTCAAGCCTGACCGAATGCAAGAAGAGGCACCCAAACAAAAGGCTGAATAGGGGTTATTAAGGGGGGGTTTGGGGGTTATTACACCCAGTAATGGAGAATCAAATAGAAAAACGAAATAGAAACAACTATTTGGGGTTTTATGGTTTTAGGATTTAGGGTCGACACATGCCATTGGAGTCTGTAGGCATGGCGGCGTGCCACAGGCCTCACGATTAGCAGGCTACGCAAGGAGGAGCAAGATCATGAGGATCCCCATAGATGACAAGCAAAGCAGCTAGGCAGATTGCCAGCAAGAACTCACAAAGCACTTCTTGCCTGGCAAATAGTATTAGTAGTAATAGTAGTAGTAGTAGTAGTAGTAATAGTAATAGTAGCAACAATATGCTCCACGCTCTCCTATGGAAGACGTGCAACGCTGACGGTGTAAGGCCTGCACACTCTTGCATTCCCGAGCTTCCTATTTCCTCGCTGAGATATACATACATATTTATGGTTTGGGGCTTAGGGTAGGGAATATGGGAATATATCAATATAGGGGTTAAAACGGGATTGTATTCCTTTATTCCCTACTAAGGACCAATAGAATTTAGTAGTATCAGCAATCACAACTACCCTAAACCCTAAACCATAACAAGCATCTTTCGCTTGCAAGAGTGCAGGCGCGAATGTGGGCTTCTCAGATGACAGAGTTCCAGCAGAACCAAGGTCGATCAGTCGTTGTTTTCAGTCGGATGTGGGGGGGTTGGTTAGGGTTTGGGGTTTAGGGTTTGGGGTTTAGGGTTTAGGGTTTAGGTGAGTTGTTTCATGCTTGAATAGGTCCTTGACACAACAGTTTCGCTCAGGCTCAATGTGGCTGTCGCCGTCGCCGGAGGCCACCTGCTGCGAGAAACCCTCGACCAGGTGCCTCTCTTTGTAAAATTGTAAAGCTTGCGCGCGGATCTCAGACTTGACAAATTCGGCACTGACATTGACTTTAAGACCTCAATGTGCCTTCGTTGGTGTGCGCAATCACTTGTCTGCAAAAACTCCGCTGGCAGCTCATCATTCAAGCATCAACTCAGGCGCAGAAAGTTGGCGATTTTAGCATAAATCTGGTACGTTCAATCCCCATCAACTCATACCGTCAACCCAAGTTCCGTTTCATGTTCCATTCGATTCCGCATTATTCCCTAAACCCATCTAAATCCAAAACCCGAAACCCAAACCCAACAGTCAGATATTGGAATCGCTTAGCCTGCGTACATAACCCGAAACCCTAAACCCTAAACCCTAAACCCTAAACCTAGTAGTCTGTAGGGTGGCCCCGCCATGTATTTTTGGCCTCTGGCAAGCAATGCGACTTGGCTGAGACATGGTGGGCCGGGCTGCAAGAGAGTATTGTTGAAGGTTCAGAGTTCAGGCTAGGTTTCAGACTTTAGGGGATCAAGTTATGAGTCAGGTCATGTCCCCGTATAATAGCAGTTAGCACAACGGGTGTTGCTGTAGCCCCTTACTGTAATAAGACCCCTTTCCGAACAGCTACTGCAAAGGGAAATGTCACAAGTTATGAGGCACTACCATTATTGACCTAAACCCTAAACCCTAAACCTTAGACCCTAGACCCGAATCCCAAAACCCGAAACCGCCTAAACACTAGACCCTAATCCCTACACCCCAAACCCTGATCCCTAAACCCTAAACTGTTTCTGCGGTACTTGGTCTTGCCAGGAGGCTCAATGAGAACACGTGGCTGGCTGGCACCTCGACGAATCCCAAGTTAATAAGGGTTTTAGGGCTTAAGGTTTAGGGTTTAGGTGTAGGGTTTAGGGTTTAGGGTTTGGGGTTTAGGGCTTAGGGTTTACGGTTCAGGCGGAATCCCAAGTTTATAAGGGTTTAGATATGGGACATCCATTATGACCAGGCAGCATTTTATTATAGGCTCTTATTAGCATTACGCATAACACTATGCGTCTCCCATGATACCTACATTCTATACAAGCAAGGATTACTCGGCAACTTAACCCCAGCGGTTATACTCATGGACTTAACATAGGGTGCTTCTGGAGTTTAGGGTTACTAGGACTGCACTAGCTGTTCAGCTGCATGTTGCGTTGCTAGGTCCGGCCTTGCCGAAATGTTAAAGCCCATTTTTGTGGGGGAACGGGGATACAAACCGGGGACCCTGATCAAAAGAGAACGTCCTTGTGGGGTTTCAACAAATAGAGGCCTTGATTGTTGGAACCCTAAACTTCATATGTGTGTATACGTATATATATATATACACACATACACATGCAAAAACGCATACACATGTGTCGCTATATACCCCCACCTTTGCATAAAAATACACACAGGCATATTCCCTGTAACTCCCTATGAAGAAGGACCTCCCTCACATGTTGTCTCTAAGGCAAAGTGTGCCAGCTGGTTCCTTATGAGAAGGCCATGGTGCCAACGTACCATAAGTGGATGAAGGTCGGTCAGCCCAGACTTACTGGTACCGGGTAAGGGACGAGGGAAATTTCCTAGACTTGCCGGTTGTTGACAGGAAATGAAGAACGGAAAGACAATTTGAAACTGCTGCATTATTGGGGGTCATACAGGCATATCTCAATTCCCGACTCATCACAGCCAGCATGTAGAAGCATCGTTCAGGTTGTTGCTTGCGCTTTTTCTGGTGTACTCCGGTGGCACTCACAGGGTGTATCCTTCCGCAAACTGTAGGGTCAGCAATGTCAGAATGTCTATAGGAGCCTTTGGGTTCCGTGGTGGCCATTCTCTTGTGACGTGAATCACCTCTTTGTCATGCGCTGAGCTCTAACCATAGACCCCCAACCAGAGTTCTGCAACTCATGGAGGAAACCCTGCATAAGTATGGTGAAAGCAGCCCCGAAGACCTTGACAGAAGAGTGGACCAAGCCGCACACCAAAAAGTCTAAGCTCCAAGCCTTCAATCCCGGATCTTAAATCCCACACACCAGACCCTAAACCCTAAAGCCTGGTACCTGAACCCTAAAACCTTAAAATTCTGAAGCCCTAAACCCTAAACCCTAAATCCTGAATCCTAAACCCTAAGCCATATGCCCTAAACCCTACACCTTTAATCCTAGGCTCCGGGTTGATAAAAACCACCCCAAAAAGCCTCTGCAGGATCCGGAGCTCCTAGAGCTAACTGGCTCGGAGCCTCTGACCCTTAGTCAGAGATTTAGGGTTTAGGGTTCAGAATGGTTACTATATGGGTTGTATTAGGAAATTGGAAAAGAAAATGGAAACTACTATTCAGGATTTGGGGTTTAGGGATAGCAAGTTATTCTTCAACCTAAGTTCCCCTGAATAATGGGTGTTATAGGGTTATATTGCGATAAGGAGTCAGAGATTTGGGGTTCAGAATTTTTAAAACTCTTTGAAAACAGAAAGGGTTATGGTCCCCCTTAAGTAGATGGAATATGGGTGTTATATAGGGATAATGGAAAAGAAACTGGAAACTACCATTCAGGGTGTAGGGTTTAGGGTTTCGGGATGAATGTTGTTCTTCACCTACTTACTAAGCCCCCCTGAATATTGGGTTTTATAGGGGTTGTATTTGGAGAATGGAAAAGAAAGTGGAAAGTTAAAGGCTCTAGTCCCCCTTAAGTAGATATGATATGGGGGTTATTTGGGGATAATGGAAAAGAACATGGAAACTACTATTTAGGGTATAGTCCTCCTTACATAGATAGAAAATGGGGTATATGGGGGTCTTATTCTTATATACCCAAAGCCATATTCCATAAACTTAAGGGGGACTATAGGCTTTCGGATTTAGAGCGGTTATTTGCGATATGGCGCTGAAGCAGAGATGGTCATGCCACAGAGTCACTGCGAGTGCGTCATGCTGTGCGACATGCTTCCATGGCCTGACCGTGAATGGCCATCTAACACACTCACCCACCCCAAACCACCCAACCTATTCCTGTCAGGGTTTAGGTGTAGGGTGTTGACTTTTTTGACGCGACCAGTACTGGTCGCAGGGAGAACAGGTCCCGGTACTGAGCCTACTGTAGGTGCTACTGTTCCCATGCCTGTGGAAGGGCAGATGACTCTTTGGGTCGGCCTTTTGCCATGGAGGGCGCGGGGCATAAGTGGGCAGCGTAAGCTTTGAGTTCAAGGGTCAAGGTTTAGGCTTCAGGATTCAGCTTTTAGGTTCGAGAATTTGGAGGCTTCAGATTTTGAGATTTAGGCTTCAGGCTTTGTGGTTGAGGATTTAGGGTTTGGTGTTTAGGATTCAGGGTTAGGCTTTAGAAGTCAAGGTTTTTGGAAGTTTGGAAGTCAGGGTGCCCACAATGTGTTGTCAGTGTTGTCACTTTGCAATGCCGAAGCCATCCGTGGAAGATGAAACCGCCCTAAAGCGATATGTGGGATTTGTGAAAGTGCTGTTTACATGGTCCTCTAAGTGGGACCTCCACAATCTTCGTATGATCCCTGCATACCCCAGGACCCCAATGTCTGCCCCATTTAAGAGACTCCAGCCTAAGCCTCAAACCCTAAACTAAAACAAACAAGGTAGATCCTAAACCGTAAGCCCAAAGCCCTGAACCTTACCATTGTTCAGAACCCACCCCGGCCCAGGACCCTGGAAGAGGAATACGAAATGCAGCAGTCTTGGCGCGACAGTGAGGAGAGGAAGGGCAGCATGCAGCAAAGTGAAGGGGGCTGGACATATGATCTATAGGCTGTAGTCGTTAAACGGGGTTATATAGGGGAGCATGATAGGGCTTAGTAAGGGGGATACCGGGAGTTTAGACTATAGCTCATATCGTACATTTCCATTATTGCAGTTCTGATTTGTCATTTTTTGGTACTTGCAGGTCTTTAGATTTTGGGCCTAAGGAATTGAGGCTAAGGTTTGTATTCTTTACATTCAGGCCGCCAGGGTTTTATGTCTTGCGGTTTAGGGGCTAGCACCATGAAACAAATTCAGCAGTGACATTTCAAGGTAAGAAGATACTGGTAGCAAGACCCAACGGATGCAACAGAAACACGCGGCAACGCATGATAGCACCCCTAAAGCACGCTTTGGTACAAGTGTGCTTTGCAGTCAGCTGCGCACTGGAGCACTCTTGATCGGTGCCCATTTCGCTGCACAGCTGCCTTGAGAAGAATGTCACCACCTGCCAGAACAGATCTTCAAAAAATGAACATGTTCTTCGGGTTGTCGACTTGACCATTGCACATGCCAAGCCAGCTGAAGCCGCACCAACCCTACAAGCTAACCTTCCCCATCTGCCTTAATCCTTCTATTGATCCTCAATTTGCCCGTAGTCGTTACAACAGCCACGAGACTACGGGACAATGGCCTCATGGCATTGATTTCAATTTCTGCGGTTAAAGCTATCATGTTTAGGCTGCGGGATGCGAATTTTGCCGCAGTTGCGAATAAGTGTGTCTTATCCGAAAGGATAAGCTGACCTTCATTGTGGTGGATCGCAGCCTGCCGCCGGATCCCTCCCTGGGCCTCAACGGGGGAACCATGGTCGGCGACGTGAACGTCTTCTTCACGCAGGCGTGGCGGGGAGTGGGTGCTAGCAGGCCACGGTTGGCACGACCGCTTTGATTTTTTGAGCAAAGTCCCCTCCGTCCCTAAACCGTCAGCCTTCAACCTCGAACCTTGAACCCCTGAAGGATTGCCAGACCCTTTTCGTTGTTACCCCGTATGGAGTTCTGGCACAATGACGTACAACGTATCTTCAAACCTTTTTCTGTTTAGATAAGCTCCTAATTAAGTGTACGATGTATCCCCAAGCCCTGTTGAATTTAGATCGGCTCCGATATCAAGCTTTATTGGGGCCCTGAAGCTGTGAGGTCGGCCTGGTTGATGAAGAGGGGCTGGATCGCTATGCTGCCGGGGAGATAGAGGCAGGGTTTTAAGGGTGGGGGTTCAGGGAAATTATTCCTTGTTTGACAGAGAGGAGCAACACAACCTGAGTTTAAATAGGCGCGTTCCGGCAAGTGACTTTAACTACCTGAAAAGGGTCGGAAGCGAACATGGAAGTTCAAGAGGCCATACAAAGTCTACTGCCCTTCTAAAAGAGGAGTTTCCATGTTAATTCTGGGCTGGGAAGTTTCTGCCATGAGTATAAGAGGTATTTTTCTTTGCCAGAATTCTTATTGTTTTCATCCAAGAAATGACCCTCGCTTTTCACTCCGGATATGAAACAGGTTACTCCTGAACTTATGCATATACATGTATCAATATACATATGAGCTATAGTCTAAACTCCTGGTTTGTATAGGACTATTATAGGGGTTAGTAAGGGGTACCTTGAGTTTAGACTATAGTGTGTATATATATATATGCTACCCCCCCCCATTGACCAAGGTTTCCTGGATGAATTCCTTTTACATTCCAGTTAAGTAAAAAGGAAACTTGGAATACTGGCTTTGCTCCAGCTAAATTCCTTTTAAAACAGGAATTAAAAAGAAATCTTGGTATACTGGAATTCTCTAATTTTGGAGGTGGCGTTGTTTTAAGATAAATTTCGGTTAAAAACCAATTAGGACTTAAAGAGTAATCTTGGAATCCTGGAATTCTAATCTTGGAGGTGTCTTTTCTTACTATACATTCCTTTTATGTTCCAATCAGGAATTAAAGAGGAATCTTGACATCGGAAGTCTGGTTCTGGAGGTGGCTT